TCTATCTATCTATCTATCTATCTATCTATCTATCTATCTATCTGTCTGTCTGTCTGTCTGTCTGTCTATCTATCCATCAAGGTTTAATTTGCCTGTGGGTTATCATTATCATCTTCCTCCTCTTCCTCATCCCCGGTATCTTCATCAGACACATCACCCTCCTCTGCATCAGGATCAAGGTTTGCTGGCAGCTTTTTCCCCTTGAAAACAAGAATTAATGACTGTATATTACAAGTCCATGTGTGATTTTGTGTGTTTTTGTGCTTTGTTCGAGTATCCTTGAGTAGCATATTGCAGCGCATGTTGCTGAAAACAACTTTACCTTGACTAAGATTTTCCATTTCAGGATCTCAGGGGAAGGCAGCTTCTTGCATTCATGCACATTGACACTTGAAAGATCCAGTTTGTCCTGCAGCACCTCTCGCAGATACTCAGCCATCTTTTTCTGCTGAGGCACAGTGCAGTGGTTCTCTATGGACAAGATCACTGGGTACCTGGGGGGGTGAAGTGACACCTGAGCTACAGGTATGATGCTTTTTTTTTATTGTGAAGACTTGACGAAACACATCAGCATCAGGACCCAGAAGCACTTACGGTGATTTTGTGAAGGCATATTTGTTGATTGTTTCAATGACATCTTTGAAGAGAATTTTGGATGTCAAGGTGTAGCCGTGATGAATGATAGGCTCCCCGTCAGGCCCGTCCCAGCAGTCCACTGAGAGAGGAGAAAGAAAGCAAACAAAGGAGTGATGAGTGAGTCACATTGTCTGTCTTAAAAAAAGCCGAAGTTCTGGCTTTTCAGGCTCTTACCCTCCACACAGCGACAGCCTGCCTGGAGAACATAGGCATACATTTCCACTCGAGACTGAGAGAGCAGCTGGTCTCCTGTCAGGTAGGTGTTGTGTGAGGTGGCAATGAAGTAGTTACTTAGAGGCTGCGTCATGTCCTGGTTCACCTGATTGTGCTCGGGGTTGAATATATCACCTGCAGGGCTCCTCATGTAGTTGGTAAGACCTGAAGGAAGAAGGTTTCAGAGCAGGTGTGTTTTTTGTATGTTGATGTCGTGTCTGGTCCAAGTGACATATGAGATCTTATTGATGCATTGTTAAATAAGTTGTTATTAGCAAGTTCCCCATACCATCAATGCCGAGAACTGTACGCTGCAGGTTCTCAGGACATGGTTCAAACTTGGCCACGATATCGACTAAATACTCTTTGGCCAATCCTCGCATCTGCAAATAAAACAATATCATGAATGTCATTCTTGGTTCAACTGATTCGACATTTAACACGTATGTTTCATCTGTTGAATGCTTTTATTGTGAAGTAGGAAAAGATCTTTTATGGTTCTTTAAAGGTCTTTTATATCAAGGTTTAGAGGTGCTGAATTCGATATTCAGAGCATTATCA